ATACCACATGATACAGAAACCAGAGAGAAAGATCCTTCCCTCTAGCCAAAGTCACCCCATGCACCATGGCAATAAGCTGCTGCTTACCAGCTTTTTCATTTTATGTACCTTTTAAACAGGGAGATGTCAATTCAAGGCCCCAGGTGTCCTGGCATAACCCCTTTATGTGATTCCAGTTTTGTAGCAGTGCAGCACCGGCAGGTCCAGAGGAATTTGGCCAGTGAATCCCACCCATATACATTCCTTGAGGGTGAGGAAATGAACAGGAGGTAGGGGAGTGTCCATAACACTTCCGGGCTGCTGTGCAATCTGATGTTGCCAGCAATAGTGCTTAATTGAAGGAACTAAACTTTGCAAAAAAACCCTTAAAAAATCACAAACAAACCAACCCTCCAGCCCCAAATGCAGATAACTAAGCAGCCTGGAAATCCCAAGTACTGACTTAGACACACAGAACTGCACGTTTGCAGGATGGGGCGTGTGGAATTGGCCTGAGTTGGCTTTCCTGATGTATTGTATTAATTAAGCTTTTTAGGAAATAATTCATACCTATAGAAAATGTTGCCTAAAAATAACTATTTGCAGTCTCAGTATCCCTTTAGCAGAAAACAGGATTTACACAAGCCCCATTTTAAACTCTTGGTATCACAGTTAATCCTAAATGCTGTAAACTGTAATGGCCTATTTCTTTATGTCGAGTTGTTCTTTTCCTCCCTATATCTTGGTTTCTGACTCTAAAGCGGATTATGCTGGTTCATCTGTAGTGCTGACATTCAAAAACATGTACCACCGACAGCACTAAAACTCCATTTTCAGTCTAGGAAAGAAATTGGTTTGGCATAAAAACATTTAGTAGTAAAATCAAATATGTCGTATTGTTTCTATTGTTGTTAAGTGTTTTTTTTCTTCCTTGTGTTAAAGTATCTTGATGAAAGACTGATTATAATGGCTGACAGTTCACTGTGGGAACTGCTTTTCCTTTTGAAATGTTTATCACAATTGTTAATGACAGCCTTGAGGGGACATGGTGCTGGTCAGTAGATGTAAAAATATAAGAACTGCTCCTTTACAGGTTTTGAAATTAACTGTACAATCCTGCTATTTGCTGAACTAACAAAGATATTACAATCCTAAAACCTTTTGCACTCATTTTTCCTTTCAAAGGAGAACCTAAAACTAATTTGTTAGACTGCAAACTTGATGACTGACTTGACATTGTTAAATGAAATTGAATAAGCTAACAGTCCTGTTACCACAGTTACAAATCTTTAATACAGAGATAATGTGTTCGCTGCCTCTTCTGATTTAATGAATACATTTGTTATTACCTTAGTGAAGGCCTAATTACCAAACCAAAAAGAGAGCTACACTGGGACTCATGAGATGTCGGATGCCTGTCAGCTGTGAGCATGATGGAATCCATTTGCCTCATTTTCACATCAAAGAAATAATAATAACAGCAATTTATCTACTTTTAAAAATGTTTGGATTTAAGCTGCATTTTACTACAAGTACATCAAGTCCGATGCACTGGTGCTGTTCTGATATTAGACTTGTCATGTTTTATCATATCTTTGCCTATTGGAGCATTTAATTATATGCCTGTCTGCTCTCAACATCACTGCTTGTTTGGATAAAAACAAGTAGCATAAATTGAAAAATAAAGATAATTTATTAATTATGCATGATTCCTAAAATGTGAATAACCTGGGTAAGGGGAAGAGAGGAGACTAGAGTTAGCCTTTTAAAATCCAGAGTCTCCTAACAAGTTCTAAGTATTGTGGAAGTCCTACCATTTAAGAATGTTTTTTTGGTGGCTGTAGACTATGTGGCCTTTGCCTTCTCTGGCACAGGCAGTATCTTCTATTCTTCCTCTATGCACCGAAATGTTTCTGGTGTTTCATATTCACTTTCATTGTTGCACCATGTCCTGGTTTTATTGGGATAGAATCAGACTCATTTTTCTATTCAGGGAATAGAAAACAAGACCACAGCAGCACCCGATTCAGTGGGAACAAATTTGATAAGATGCTTTGTTTTAGTTTGTGGCCAGCCATGGTATGCAGGTTTCCATAGTGATCAAGGTCTTTAGCATTTCTAAGCAATTCAGATGCTGAAGTGAGGAGGAGCAAAAGCCAGGGCAGCTCACCCACACTGGCCACCAGAATTCTTTCATACCATCAACATCAGTCCCTATAAACTGCAAAGTGTGCTGAGGATGGGGCTCTTCCTCAATGTTTGCTGTCCCTGGAGGGTCTCGCCTGTCCTTCATCTCCTGAGGCCTGTTCTCCCTCTGCTCTTCTGTTGGTTGTGACCATCGTGCTTTTGCTGGAGCTGTGGTGATTGCAGTGTTTGATGAGTATAATGGTGTGTAATTTATATTAGTGTTGGTATTAGCATTTTAATTATTTTATGAAATCTGTTTCCATTTCAACCTGATGGGTCTCCTTTGCTTGTCTTGTTTGCCATTCTCAGGTGGGGAGGGGTCAGTGGGTGATAGAACAACTGACTAAATGAAGACACCCCATCATCCCCAGATGATAATGCTGACTCAAATTTACTCCATCCTGCCTTACAACTGCAGCAGTTTCCACCCAGAGGGAGGGAAGGATTTTACAATGCAGATGTCCACACACTCCTTGGCAGGTGCTAAATGTTAGGTCAGAAATGGAAGGACCTAGATCTGGTCAGTAACTTTTCCATTCCTCTGCATACCCAATTTGAGTCACAGGAGCCTTGACTGTGGGAGGAAAACAACGTAACCAATTGGCTGGGGCTGCTGCAGTGCCCCTCAAGAGCCTTTCCTAGCCTGCCACGGGAAGGGGGGCCTGCTTCTCTTTTTGTTCTCATGTTTTTCCTTTATTTCCTGGCACCACCCTCAATTTTGCCCCTCAAACCTATTATCCTCTGTCTTTTCTGTATTTAAGACACCAGCAACTACTCCCTGCTAATCTTGCCATCTGCCAGGGCTGCTTGCTGCTCTAGGTTTGCTTTCCAGATCACAAACACCAGAGAAATGAGTTTGTATCTTCTGTGGGATTATGTGCGCAGGCACAAAAGGCAAACCTGTCAGTAGTGACCACACTTCCTGTGGCCTGCAAACATCTTCCTTGAGGTTAAATGCCCTTATACACCATCTAAGCTGCATAAAGGCTACAGGCTTCTTGTGTACTGTCCTGAGTGAACTTCCACTCACGTTGCCTCACACAGACTGTACTGCCTGAGTGCTACAGGAAACGGAGCTGCTTCAGTGATGTCAGGAAGACAGACAACAGCTGCTTTGGCCAACACAACTCCATCCAGCAAAACAGGTCACTGAGACTTCTGTTTCAGAAGCTGGTGGAGGAACTGATCCCATTTCTGCTGTTGGGTACCATGGGCTCACATGAGGTGCTGGAGTCAGGGGATCAGAATCTGAAGCAGTAGTAAGTAGTATTCTGAATGTGCACACCACAAGTAACCTGCCTAGAAAATAGGGTCAAGAATTGACTATTAATGTTTCTTTTCAGTTAAGCATGCTAAGCCTAAAGAATTAATTGCTAGGAGCATGGTCCCTTTCTTACTTCTCTTGCAGTGATTCTAACTTCTCTTCCAAAATGTTTAAGGGCACCGAACGAATCTGCTCACTTGGAAAAGTAAAAAGGTACTGAGCATTTCAACCCACTGCTCTTAACAGAAAAGCACTGACTGCCAGTCATATCACCAGTGATGCCCATTGGATAAGAAACAAAGTAGAGCTTTATTTGGCATGCCAAAGACTGGTCATTTCCTTTGTGTGGTGTGATTCATGGCATCTTTTTTTTCTGCCACTGTAGGTGAATAGTTGGTTTTTTTCCTATTGATAGATGCCTGAAAGGAAGAGAGGTACTGCTGTCTCTGCTCTCTTTTATAAGATGAAGTTAACTTCATATAAGAAATAGCATTCATTCCTGGGGGGGGGGGGGGAAGAAAAAGTCATGTTTGCTGGGCAATAGAATTTAGAGCTGAGCTAAATATAACAGTTTAATTCCTGTTTAAAAAGAGAGGTAGAATCACATACCACCATATATTTCTAATTTCCCAACCATGTCAAAATAATTACTTCTTTCTTAAAACCTATTTCTTGGTGTCTGGTATTAATCCTCTTAGTGGACTCAATGCAGATGTGTGGAAAAATGATAGCTTTAGATTGGATTCTTATGTACCTGAGGAAACTAGCAAAATAAAATCCCCAAATCCTTGTCCTATCTGCTCTCTAGGCTAGAATAATAGAGGGGTTTTTGTTTATGGAAAGTTTAATATCTTAATAGAGCCCTTATTTTGGGAGCTAGAAGAAAAAAAGTTACAGAATATTTAAGGCTACAGAGTAACCAGCACTTACTTGTTTCTGTTTTCTTTATTAAGGTTTCAAATTCAATTCCCAGTCTTGGGATTTGTTCATGCACAAATTACTGTGATCAGACCTACATGGACACCAGCATCTTAACAGTGATGACTGAAGAAACGTCTCTGCAAGCCCAGCCCTCTGCCATGTTACACCAGTTTCTCCTTTACCCTAGAACATTTCATGTTGATCATTAACAAGCCGTATGTAAATCTGCAATGAATCTTGTAAAATCAGGCATTTCAGTTTAATATGTTCATGGTTTATCCATGTAACATTGATATTAATCACATCTGTTGATTATCCTTAACCTGAAACTATTTGGAATATACAATATGTTTTGTAATAAGGCAGCTTCTTTCTTAAAATATGAGTGAGGGATTTAACACTTCTCTATCTTAATTTTACATTATTCAACAACAAATCTACATACAAATGGGGCACTTTGAAATATAAATAATGCCTTTAAAAATATATTGTAATAAGTTTATTGCAAACCTTATTTACCAGAAACTTTGATAAGCCTTTTTTCAGAGGGACCACAGGGGACCAGAAGTCAAGCTGCTTTTGTGTGAAAGACCTTCAGCAGCTCTCCTGGTACTCTATTTCTTCATCACAAAAAGGCTGCCAATAGATTATGGGCAGTAGAGTAGCTCCACAGAGCCCACATGGAACCAGGTAAGTGCCGTAAATTTGGGATCATGCACAAAATGTATTTGTTTACAGTCAATTTTGAAATTAAACTCTTGTCGGCCCCTCTCAGGCTTCACCTCGTATGTTTAAATTTATTACCAAAGGACTAAATAAATTAATGTTTCCCCATTCCTTACCCAAGTTCTCACAATCATGTATGTCTGAATTCTGCATCATGAAACTATCCCTTTTTTTAATAAAACTTTTTGCAGTAGAGGTAAATATTAAAAAAATAACCAAACAAAAAAACCCCAACCAACCAACACCTTTGAAAGTTCTAAGAAACTTTTGGAAACTTTTGACACCTTCATGCTTAAAAACTGTTTCCTCAAGCAATATGAATGTTTAGCACTGCCTGTTTTTCTCTAGTATCTAGAACTAGATCATGCTGATCATATCAGATCATGACCAGTATCACACTGCTAAGTATCAATGTGTTATCTGATGTTAGAATGAACCAAAGTTGAGGTAAGAATTTCCTTAAATCACCCGTGTTTTTAGTAAATCTTTCTAAAATACTGCATGAGGGTAAGCACCAAGTAAAGGTTTTTAGGGTTGGGGGGTTTTGTTCTTCCATTGACATGTATTTCATGGAAACTGGCTGTCTTTGCTACCATTTAGATTGCAGTGGAAACTTTTTCTTACAGTGGAAACTTTTGTGATAGTGTAAAGATTGTAGGAAATCGAAAACCCAATAGTTCCATGGGCAAGTTTGAGCTGCCGTACTTCCCTAATGAGAGAACAACCCGTGGTGTTGTAGCTGTTGTAGTTACACTGAGAGAGGTGTTACCAGCTTGTCTTTCTGGTTTTGCAAGAAAACCTAGAAAAACTGCACCGCTTCATTCTAAGCAAATATTTGACCTCCTCCTGTTCCGCTGCCACAGCACAACAAAGCGGTTAAACGAGTGCCCAGGGCTGGCACACGCCGGGACCCGCCGCAACGGAAAGGCTCCAGATGGTGGGTTCCCCGTTCGGGTCATAAACGTGATTTCCCGCTGGAAACCCGCCCCTGCCCCCGCCCAGCCCGGCCTGCGGGGCG